GGGGGGGGGGGGGGCGAGGTGCGAAGGGCGGGACCTAGAAGCAGATGACCAGTCACGGCGACGCGGTGCTAGATCAAAGGGCCCGATAGGTGGACCCGCCGGCAGGCCGGGGGGAGGCAGGCCCCCCGAGGCGGCGTCCCGGAAGCGGAGGGCTGCTCGCACTTCCTTGCACACCAATTTGTCCGGAGATCAGGCTCGTGGCGCGGGGTCGGGGGAGGCCGCACCAGCAAGGAGGGGCGGACCCCGCGAGATCTTGGACCGGGTCCGGGGCTGTTGACGGAAATCCGATCGGCCATCCGGCCGGCGCACGCGCGGACACGATGGACATCCCCCCCCCCCCCAGGCATTCATAGGCAGTGGCCCTACACTCAGCGCCCGCCAGGCTGGGTCGCGGGGAAACTCGAGACCGTAGGCCACTTGATCGGGGTGACGAGATCGCACGCGTCCCTCGAGGGCGGGGGGGTGCGTGGGTGCGGGGGGACAGGGGCACGGACAAAGGCGGGGGCCATCATGGCCCGGGAAGACTGTGAGGCTCACGCGGCCATCCCCTGCCTCGGCCTGCGCCGGCCGCCCCGCCTGGCCTCCCTCGCCGGTCTGCCGCCCGGGGGGAACCAGCGCAGGGTGGCCTCGAGGCTAGTCACCGGCCGGCATGCGCGCGCGTGTCCATGTACACACACACACACACACACACACAGACAGACAGACACGCACGTAGGGGCGTGCGCGCCCACCCCCGGAGGGGAGCGGAGCCCAATCGGAACTGAGCTGAATATATGACTGGGCAGGGGAGAGAGGGAGATGGGCACCCCCCCGCGGCCACGATGATGGGCTGATTTTATATGCACGCTGAAAATGCCACGGCCGAAGGGGCCACCCGAGCGGACTTCCCGGGCCGCCCGTCGTTCACCAGGTGAGAGGCCCAGCCGCAGGATGCGGCTGCTGCCAACACCGGTCGATCCCCCCCCCCTCCGGGGGAGATATCCCGGGTGCCTGACTGTGGGTATTCCCGCAGGCCCGCGGCCAAGGTCTCGCCCCGCTGATGTCTTTCCCGCTCGTCGGAAACCCCGGCCCTATACCTCCGCCCCCCTTCAAACACACCCGCCCATGAGGCCGGCCGGGGGAAGGACACAAGGAGGCCCATGAAGGTGGCAGAAGCAGGAGGCTCTCTCGCCCGCCGCCGCCTCCGCCGCCGCCGCCGTCGGGGGACTGGGGGGAATAAAATATGACGACATTGCACCCAGTTTGAATTGAGGCCCCAGCCGCCGCCGGGTCACATGCCCCGGTGTGACCGGACGTGATAATAACGCACCAACTCGTTGCATGTGCCCGCCGGTATGCGTTGGTGGGCATGCGGCGGGCGGGCAGGGCCAAATATTTGATCGGACTTCTGGCACTCCAGTATGGCGGCTCTTCAGGAGCACGGTCTTGGTGGGGCGCTCCGAGCACCGCCCGCCAGGGGGGGAAGCACCCAGGGAGTGGAACCGGGGGGGGGG